AGAAACTCAGTTTTGTTAATAAAATTTTTATACGATAAATAAAATGCCTAATTTGAAATTTTAAAAATTTCAATGGTGGTTATACATCAAACTAAAGTCAGATAACCTAATTAAAGCTATATTTAGAATCAAAAAATCCAAAAACGTCCAATTTTTCCCCCAAACAGCACAAATCGTTTCACGTGGACACAAATCGGGCAATTCCGGTGGCCAAGCCGCACAAAACCACGTCAAAGGTCAAAAGTCACCCACCGCCCCTGCAAAATCACCCCTTTTACCTGAAACAACGGGTTGTGCCTCCGTCTCGTCCACCTCAGCCCCCGTATCCAGCCCGCTGAGTCCGCATCTGCTCAGGAATAACAAGCTGATCAAGCTGAGCGAGCAAACAAGCAGCAGAAGTCTCGTAACGAGTCTCATGCCCAGAAGTCGCATCATCTCGGTGCGTGCCCGCCGCTTCCTGAAAAATTGAGCCAATCACACATCAACATCATGAAAAAAAACCTCTTTTGACTTTGTTGTGGGGTTGTCAAGTGAGTGAATTTCCGGATACTCACTACCACAATCGCGACTTTATTTCCCCAAGGACATGGAAAATATCAATTTCGGGTCGCGTCGCATTCTCGACATTTTTACTTTATTGCTGAAACCGTTTGGTTACAAATTGCTAGGATATGAAGGATTACTTTATTACGAGCGTTCATCGCTTTTTCGACCGAATCGATTGCGGACTAATTTACATCGCGGAGGCTTTGCAGGTGTTTCTTAACGAGATTAACGTCGTGTCAAGGATTTGAAACACAAACTGGGGCAAAATACATCAATTCGGGCCTAAAAACGGGCGACAGGAGTAGGAAAAGTGACACTTCACCCCCACCATAAAAAAGTAGAGGTGATTTTTTACAAAATTAACGTCGTGTCAATAATTTGAGACATTGACGGGTCGTAAAATACACGATACGGGCCTGAAAACAAGCATTTTCGCACACGAGTAGGAAGAGTGACACTTCACCCCCACCACAAAAAAAGGGGGAGGCTTTGTTGATGATTTTTAACAAGATTTGCGCCGAGATTTGAGACTGAAAAATGACTATTTTGCGAGTAGGAAAAATAACACTTCACCCCCACCACAAACAAGTAGAGGTGATTTTTCACTAATTTTTACTAAAAATCATCATTGATAACCTTAAAATAAATGTTTTAGCCACATTTCCAGTATCTAAATATTTTTCTTTTGGCAAATAACTAAAAATTTCAACTAAAAATTAAATCAAAAATGTCCTTTCTTATAGAAAATTTTGCAAAACTTTTGATTCTGAGACGAGTTTGTTATCAAAACTGAAAATTTTGAAACGAAGAATTCGTATGGGCGGGCAATGTCGGAATATTGCACTTAAAATTTTTTTTCTTAAATTATACTGTTATTTATTTCAGATCAAAAAAACTTCTTTGAAGACAAAAAAAGGCATTTAACTGCGCC